TGACCAAAATTTGTAGGGGTACAACCGGTAGGCCTCATGTTATGATTTTTCATTAAGAGCTCATTATTCTGCTCAGCAATAAGTAATATTGAGATTAACTCAGAATACTTTTTAAAACCCCTTTCTCTGTATTGTTGCTGCAATATCACATTTGACATATGCATGGTGGAAAAAGTTTTTTCCAACATATCATGATCTGTGATATTATGTCCACATAATTTTAATGTGGATGTGACTTTGAAAATAGCAGAATTATAGTCACAAACAGACTTAAAATCTTGGAATCTTAAATTGATCCATTCATATTGAGCTCTTGGCAATAGGACTTTTTGTTGATGTCCATATCTCTCTTGGAGATTAACCCGTAATTCCTTCGGATCTTCCACCAATAGATATTCAGATTTTAAACTTTCATGAAGATGGTGGCGAAGGAAAATTATGGCTTTTGCCTTTTGCTGAGATGATGATGTATTATTCTCAGCAGTTGTATTTTCAAGGCTATTAGCCTTAAGGTGAGCAAGTGCATCAACCCTCCATTCCAGGTACCTTTGACCGGATAAATCAAGAATGTCAAATTCTCTCTTGGTGATGTTGGCCATTTGAAAACTACAAAACAATAAATTTTAATTTTATTTTGAAAACTACAAAACAATAAATTTTAATTTTATTATTATTGTTTTGTTAAAAATTAAGTGAATGGGTGTAGTAAGGTAAGAGCATAATATATTTAAATAATGCAAACATATGAAAAGAAAAATGTCAGACATGTGAGGACATGTGAGCTGTGCGCCTCTCCAACCCTTTTCTCCTAACTTATTCTATAAAAAGTTGATTCCCTTTTTTTTCTTTTTCCTTTTTTTCTTATTTAAATCAAAATCAAATAAAAGAAGACAAAAAAATGTGTAGTATGTCTTCCGTTTTTTTTAATAAGGAGGAAAAAAAAATTTCATACCCACTAATAATTCGTTTGATTCAGCTGACATAAAATTACACATAATAAAGTTAGCAGGTGAAAAGGAAACCACCCGTATGAATTGAATGAATAGACCACATATTTAAATTTGATTCCTTTTGAGAAGTAATGAATAGAAGAATATAAAACACAACAAGTTAAAAATTGTCTGTTCCTTTTGAATGGATATGGGGCCTCCACACTATTACATATTACGGAGTATTATATTAATATTTCCTCTCACACTCACATGCTTTGTATATCATTCCTTATACCTCTATTCATGATATATCATACCATATTATCATGTTCATTCTTAAACCCAAATTAGAAGATTACAAAGTGAGATTTTCTATTTCTATCAAAGATGTGTACAAGAAAAATTCAAGAGTAGCAGGAAGGTAAGTTCATCATATTTTGATTTTAATGATTTTTTTTCAAGAGTAGTCTTTATTTAAAAATAATAAATTTTTTTTAATCTTAAATAATTCGTATTAAATCAACTCTTTGTTTTTAGTTTATAAAAAATGATTTTTTTTATTTTTATGAGTAAACTTCTTCCTTTTAATTATCTAATTTTAATTTTATAACTATAAGTTTCTGATGTGAAGGATCCCAACTTTGGGCAATCACAGAGCATACTTCTCATAGTTTTTAAGAAAATATTTTAGTTTGTTCATGAAGAAAATAAAATAAATATACCTTCTGAGAAAAACAAGGATTCTGAGATTTTGAGCAAATTCGTGCTGATAACGTGTTATAAAAAGAGAGAAAAACTACTCAAAATTATAAAAATAGATATAATATATTTCTGATTTCTTCTCTCTAGTAACTCTTCACTCTTCTTTTTATTCTTAATGGTGATTACAATGCAGAGATTAGGCCTCTATTTATAGTGGAGAGCCTTGGTATGGATACAAATACAAGTGGGAAGTACTGTACATAATTGATACCAATCAATGAGTGTCTTAATCTATTATTCTAAAAATTAGTCCTGATTAATTGAATAAATGAACAATCATTAATTTCATAACAGTAACTTTAAAATTTAAATAGAACAAAATGGGCAATTTGTAACTTTAAAATCTGTTGGAATGCGTCGGGTCCGGTGGCTTAGGTTATATTCGATTTCACCATTATTACAATTTTGATAAACATATGGGAAGATTAATGTATCGTAAAATCATTAACAAGTACGACAGTTTGGCCGAGTGGTCTAAGGCGCCAGATTTAGGCTCTGGTCCGAAAGGGCGTGGGTTCAAATCCCACAGCTGTCATGTTTTTTTGCGTTCCATTTTATTTTTGTTCTTATTTTTGAAGCCCAGTCTCTGTTCTTTTTGTTTCTCTCGGCCGCGGCAAATTTTCTAGTCCTACAGTTCCACGCGATGTATCATCGTCACTTCCTTCGCCGTTTGCTCGCCATTCCGGCCACTGTTCGCCGCCGGTCACTCTCAACCTTGGCCTTCGATGAAATACGTTCGCCGCCGGATCGTTCATACAAGTTCACCGCTTTCGTTCTTCACGGCCTGTTAGGCTCCGGTCGCAACTGGCGTTCCTTCTCCCGCTCTCTCGCTTCTTCTCTTCCATCCGGTACTCTCTCTGTCTACACATCTGTTTCAGTGATTTTGTTCTAGTGTATATTGGGGAGATCTATTGATAAAAATAAAAAAGTGTTGATTATTAATTTTTTGTTTGCGTGTATGTTTGAAAAGGATGGAGGATGATTTTGGTGGATCTTAGGAATCACGGTAGATCGGCGGAACTTGGATGCTTTGAGCAGCCACACACGATGAAAAATGCTGCAAATGATCTGGCCACTCTGATCGAATCACAAGGTTGGAATTGGCCAGATGTTGTTATTGGCCACTCAATGGGCGGCAAGGTGGCACTGCAGTTCGCTCAGAGCTGTTCTCGCGGTGATTATGGCCAACCAGCTCAATTGCCTAAGCAGGTGTGCTATTATTTTCAGATTTCCTGCTGTTGATGAACATGCGTCAAAAATACCCGTTTGAAAGTAATAAATTAGGTGCTTTTGTGGGTCAATAGATGTCCTAATTTCTACATTATTGAAGCGAACAATAAATAATCGATTGAATCATTTCAAAACGAGACTCGTTTTAATGCTCTTTTTTATTCGATTTGCATTCCTTGGAGAGAATACCATTAGCACACGATTAGCAAATGTGTCTTGAAAATCAGGTAGCTATTAGTATGTCGATGAGTTGCAAACTCGCAATAGGTCAGTTGGATTACATCTTGAAGTGATCCTCTAGACCTGCGCAGCCGCCTGGACGCTGGCATTATGTATATCATGCTTTCAACTACACGAGCCGACAATCCGTAGGCATATGGATATATGTAGGCTAGGTGTCGCATTCAACTGCACGGGCCGAAAATCCGTAGGCATCTGTTTGCTTGTCCACGACATCGACTTGGACGGAACTCTCCCTATGAGTCATATTTGCTGCGTAGTCCAGACTAGATGCTTGAATACCAGACCAGCTTCCGAGCTATATGGACACATTCAAAGGTTATCACTCAAAGAAGAATTTTCCCCATTGAATGATGCATTTGTTGGCGCCACCTGGACGCATGGCAAATTAATTTATTAGATGTTTCTCATTCCAATTGCAATTCCTAATTTACTAGAAGTTTCTTTTTATTTATTGGCATTGAAATTATCTTGTTAGAATTTGAAGTCTTTTTATTTAAATATGATTGCTTTACTAAATAGTAAATATGTTGGTGTTGAATTTAAATTCAAAGGAGATTAAACCCACCAGCTCCTTCTCTCTTGTTTTCTGCGTGTCTGCCCTAAGGACATCATCTATCTCAGTTCGCACTTCACCTAGGAAACCAGAAGAAGAATTCTTTTTCTTCGGTATCATACCAACCTGTATTGCCCAACGGTTTCTTAGCCTATATCGTTGGCTACATGTGAAGGGGGCATTCTGAGAACATTGTCTTGTATTCTACTCATTATATCACTCAGAAAAGATTTTTCCTAGCCATATCTATACAAACCTTAGGTGGGTCTTTTGTCAATCATTATCTTGTCTTGGTCTTATTATCTCTTTTTCTAACCATATCATCCCCACTCCCCTCCAACTCAGCTCGGACCGGGCAGAGCTGTGAACCTGTCATCCGGTGATTATACACCTTAATATGCAATAGTGATCAAGCCCAAAACACTATGTATCTATTTATAAATGTTATTAAGCGGACTAGTGGTTTTTGAGTTATTCATTGCCTCGAGTCATTGACTGCATTATTTTCTTGTGTCCCTTAAGAGTAGAATTTCCGAAGCTTGCTTTAGGCCTGTATGGCTGTATAAAAAGGATATGAAAATTGCAAAAAGTAGCCTCATTTTTCTATTTTCCTTGTTTGTTTTCTGCCACACTCGTGGGGCTTTACTAGTTACTTTGTTGTTTTTATTGTTTTGATTGTTTTCTATTAAAACCTACTTGGCGAGTATTGTTTGCACTGTACAGTACATGTATGCGATACAAACATAAAAGAAGAAGATATCAATTCTTCCCTGCCCTTGGCTGGAAGGAGAGGAGGATAGTTTTTTACTAGCTTCTCATAATTAGAGAATTGACTTCAAGCATTAATGATAGCCTGTGCCTACGACCAGTTATCAATTATTATCATGTCATCTCACTAGAGTCGGTCCCTACACACACACACACAACCTCCCTCCTAATGAGTTTGTCTAGTTTGACTTCTTTTGGAGTCAAATTGGACAAACTTTGATAATCAATTAAATAAAAATGGCATTACATATTGGTGCAAAAATGATATAATTAGATTTAACGTGTAAGATATTTTCATTTTTTTATTTTATTAATATACAATGTAATTTTTATTTAATTGATGGTCAAACCTGGACAAATTTATTGGGATGGAGTGTGTGTGTGTGTGTATTTGCAGTACCTTGAACCCTTAGACTCGGCTATGTGTGTACCTCCCTCTTTACACTTCAAATAATTGATGTCAATTTCACTTTTGCTAGTTGTGTTTCCCCGCAGCATTTCATTGCCTCGTGAGATAATTTTATTTTCTTGCATTGATATCAGAACTTACAATCCAACTTGCTTGATGTAGGGCAGCTGTGGGTTTTGGACTCTGTTCCAGGGAAAGTGGGCCGTGAAAATAGTGATGGAGAAGTTGAGAAAGTTTTGCATACCTTGAAGAGCTTACCTTCATCTATACCATCACGAAAGTGAAGTCTATATCTTAAAGAATTCTAATGCAGGATACATGTCTAATGTATGACTTAAAAGCATGCTAGTAGGTTTACACCAAATAATGTATACCATCCAAATTTTGTACTACACAGACCTAACTCCTCGTTTGTGTCGCACAAACACAACTCATCTGTACAATTACACTTCGTCTCTGTCACAGATGATAGTTTGTTAAGTATAACTTTTGATTGGTGTACACTTGGTGTACAAATAAAATTTTATAGGAATTAAGATCATTTACTTGAATGTGCTTTATCATAAAAGAGTCATTATTTAAAATATTTTAACTTTGGGTAAAAAATGGACTAAATCAAAATTACATTAAACTTCCCTTGCTTTTTTACTTTCTATGAGGTTTTGGGCGGTAAAGAAAACGACCTCTCTGGCTTTTATAGGGGGTGAGGTTGCGTATGTCTTGACCCCCACACCCCACTGCACCCCACCGGAGTTGTGTTATACTGAGCTTGTTTGTTTGTTGCCACTTGAATGTGCTACTTTGTATAACTCACATGTGAACTAGTCCAGTAAACCATCACAAAGTACTTGTATTCGAGATTTTGCTTATTCAACTCTGAGGATCATCCTTTATTTTCATTGCCATTTGTGTGCATAGAGAATCAACGTTCATGCGAATATTTATTTTAACACCTCCCAAATGTTGCACCCTCGTTTTATGAACGATTGCACAAACCAAGTTGGCATATCCATTGCTCTAACCTCTCCGCCTCTTTCCAAATGTGTTTAGTTCTTATTAGATGAAATTGTGTCTTGTTCCCAGATGGTTGGTGGATTACTTGTTGGAGCATGGGTTTTCAAAGGCACTATCGGAATGGCTAGGCAGCAATCTCAAGAAATCGGGAGATGAAATGACTTGGACATTCAATATAGATGCTGCTTTCCAAATGTTCAATTCTTACTGGTAAACTGATTTGTTCAATTTTATTCGATGAAAAAAATAAGAGAAGGATACACCTAAAATCATTCATGTTCTCAGGGAGACGGATTATTGGCCTTTATTGGAGCATCCACCCAATGGTACAGAAATATCCATCGTTCGTGCAGAGAAAAGCGACCGGTGGGAACCTGAGGTAATCGATCGGTTGCAAAGCCTTGCAAGCAGAAAAGCCAACGAAGGTGAAGGCAAGTTCTCTTATCATGTTCTCCCAGATTCTGGTCATTGGGTTCATGTTGATAATCCCAATGGACTCCTCCAGATTGTTGCTCCAAAATTGGCCACCCTGGTTTAGCAACTTCTCTTCTGTCATTGATGGATCCCCGCACTAAAATTTGTACTCTCTCTGTTTGAAAAAACAGGTTCGGCTTCAATTTTAGCGCATCCCACAAAACACTTCTATGCCCATCTAAAATGTATAAAATACACCCCATTTCTCCTCCAGGCTCCATTGCAGGTAGAAATTATTTTGGGGGTATTTTACAGTTAGATGGGGTAGAAGTGTTTTGTGGGGTGCACAAAAAATGGAGGTGGAACTCGGGGGAGTATGTTTTTTTTCTCAGAAAAGAGACATTTTTTATTCTTTCACCAATTGATGAATGCCCCATGCCATTCCATGCCTGCGGGCAACAAGTGTTAGTGGTTCAGGAGCATCCATTTTGAAACAACTCTGATGAGCTATTGTAATTGTTTCTTGTTATGCACCTAATATAATAAGATGATAGAACATTGGATCAATCTCAAGTAACTAGTAATGAACTTATAGAAGTCACCCTTTTGCTGCAAAAGTTCTGTTCTTTGAAGGAAAAGATATTACATGGAGGTTGTTTGGGTGCGTGGTGCTATGTTTTATTCACTGTGCTCGGGTAGGTTGAGAAGTATTCTCTCTATCCCAAATTAAATTGCCTAGTTATTATTCATAGGGTCAAATTTAATTCAGGGTCTGTTTGATATTCGGAATTGATGGAATTGAAATTACATGGGATTCAATTCCATAGAATTGAATTCACCAATTCCAATTCATTTTTTGCACTATGAATTCCAAATTCACATGATTTTTGTGCTACCAAACACCAGAATTGGAATTGAAGATCCTCAATTCCAATTTCATGGTTTGAATTCCGTGTATCAAACGAGGCCTTGCTTTATTTCCCTACTTTTGTTATTTATTTGATAAAATAATATAGTCGTTTTATAAAATAATATAGTCGCTTTATTTCACCACTAGTTTTGTATATCTTTTGATGTAGTTTTTTAAATATCTAATTTTTATTTTTTAATACTACACCATTTTTCATTTAAATTGATTTGAAAATAACTTGAGTCAAATATCGTAAACTAAAATAGACGATTTAAATTGGAACGGAGGAAGTATATATTTATAGATATTGTATTGTAATAGAGTTAATAACACTAAAAAAGGTCAAAAATTAAATTAGGTTTTCAAGCACTCAAAATTGTATTCTATTTTGAGGAATTAAAAGCTCAAAAGTTCTCCAACACAACAATACTTTTCCATTTATAAATTATCCAAATGGAACTTAAATAAGAGTAATTCAACAGATTTTGTAGTAATATAAAACAAAGACACTCTTACTAATCATCTTTATATTTTGAGTTTTTCGACCTTAGACTTATCAATGTAACAACATTTACTACAAGAAGAAAAATACTTATGTGCTTTGGAGAGCATTTTTGGCTTTTGAGTACAGAGGTTAGTTCTATTCAGAGAATAAACCCACAAAACAAGAATTTAAGAATTGCACAAAGGGTATCCAACAGAACACTCATAGGAAGCAAATCAAATAACAAATATAAGGGACAAAAATTTTATATTAAAAAAAATCTGATTTATAAACTTATTTATCGAAAGTTGAATCCAAAATGAAGCTTCCCACTGTTCAGTGTATTACCTGTGACACCGATGATGTTCAATCTTTATACTGACCTTGAGGGTATTTTAGCAAAGTTTTTTTTAAAACGAGTAAATGTTGGATAGAATTCAATTTTGTAAAAAAAACAGAAAAAAACTATTTTGTTTTTGTATTCATAACAAAAAAAGTACCCTTAGGTTTTAATCGCTTGTACGATGGGTTTTCATGTTTTGGCGTCAAACAAAAAACAAAAGACAGTTTGGCCGAGTGGTCTAAGGCGCCAGATTTAGGCTCTGGTCCGAAAGGGCGTGGGTTCAAATCCCACAGCTGTCATTTTTTCTTTGTCTATTTTTCATTTATGTATTCTATTTTAGTTTTTGGGCCTCTTAGTAACCAACGTTGCCTGGCCCAAAATCTGGACTGTTTTCTCCTTTTTATTTATTGAGTCTTAGGCCATGTTTTTTTATATCTAATTTGGATGATTTAATTAGAATAAGTTTTGATATGATATAAATATATTTATTTTTAAGATTATTTTTGTTTTGATCTGATTTTGTCTAATTCTAATAAGTCATAAGAATAAGTTAGAGAAAACATGGCTAAAGTGTTTATTATTTTCTTTTTTTGCTCACTTTTTCTTTCTCCCTATTAGAATCGAACTCATGCATCGCACGACCATTATTTTTAAAATGAAATCATTTAATTGTAATAACATTGAAAAAATGATACTCCCTCCGTCCCATAAAAAAGTTCCCATTTTGAATAGTATTTAGTCAAATATTTATACGCTTAGACTATAAATTGTGAGAAAGGTATATTGAATTATGGAATAAATTTTATATAATTGGATTCATCTTAGGATCTAGTTTTGATATCTCAAATTTTTTTAGCATTTCTTTATTTAGATTATATTTAATTTAGGATCAAAGTGTGCAACAGTTTGACCAATTTATGGTCAAAATGAGATTTTTTTTGTGGAACGGAGGTAGTACAATAGATATGCCATACAATCACTTAAAAAATACCATGTTTGTAAATGATTTTTTTCATAATAATGATTAATTAATACGTCATAGCTTGTGGTTTTCAGAACCAGTCGGAGAAGATGAAGAACAAGGTCTGCTTGCCCGCTGAAGAGGAGGAGATTGAGGAGTCGGTAAAATCAATTGAGTTTACGTGAGATTCGTAAGTTGGTTTTTTATTTTATATTCAAGACAAACAATCTGTCAAAATCTATGTGTTATAAAAATCTTATAAATCTATCAAGTTTTTAATACCATCAGATTTAGAACAGTTTTTTGAAATTTGAATTGAACACATCTAGATTTTATATGATTTTTTTAAAAATTTCAGCTGAATACTCAATGACTTTTAAAATCCTAAAAGATCTATCAGAATCCTTATTGAATACTCTCTTTTAATACTCTCTTCGTCCCTAAAAGATGTCAATAGTTTAACTTTTTTGGTCAAACTGTGATACCTTTTGATTGCAAATCAAATATAGTTTAGAATAATTAAATATTATAAAAATTTGATATTTCAAAACTATATATTAAAATAAACACAATTTTACTAAATTCCTATATTTACTGTATTTGAAATTTGAGTTTGATGTATGTCGAAACACCTTGGTTCCCATGACATTGAGATTAAATGTCATGGGATGATCCGAGGTTCATAAGATACTCCGTTTGAAAAATTGATGGTTCCTATCCCCTAGCTCTCCCAGTAAACCACCCACTCCCGGGCCGATCCAAACACTTCCTCGCACCCTCGTCAATTGCATGTCTCAAGATTTAGTTGACTTTGAAGTCAAATTTTGTGACATGCAATTGACGGGGGTGCGAGGGTATATTCGGGGTCGGTCTGAAGGGTGAGAGTTTGAGAAGGTAAGAATCATCACATTTTTAAATGGGCATGCAATTGTTTTGTTAGACCCGCCTACCCGGTCTAGTTTGAAGGACATACTTTCAGCAGGCCTAAAGTGAGTTTGGAACCTGCCTGCACATATCCTGAATGTCGTCATAGCCCGTCAAGTTGCCTCATACTCGCCCAACAAACAATGACGAAGGTGTATGGAACCGGAGTTTATGATTTCCGGCGACACAGAGTGGCAGAATACCCTGTGGATGGGCTGCCACAGCAGCCAGCTGTGGCGGATATCCCCGAGAAGCCGCCTGAGTCAAAACCCCTTTCAAATGTTCCCAGTTCCATAACCCTCAGCGAGATCCAACGCGACCGCCTCACCAAAATTGCAGCCGCAAATTGGTCGAATACAGCCGCTCCTGCAGCCAAGAAGCCTTTCGATGCGAACTTAGTGAATGAAATATACTATACTGAGCTCACAGTAAAAGGTAAAACCTAATTATGCACATATTCTACCTTTTTTTCTACCTCTTATTGTATGCCCTTGTGGTTTGGCGCATCAAATTTGTTCTAACATTGACCTTTTCTTGTTACTTTTATCAGTTTTTGTATATGCTAATGGCAAAGAAGTTTGATATGAAAACGGAAGTATAATTCATACAACTCTCACTTCTTTTTTTGTTCTAAATAACTTGAAGGATTCTTAAACAGTTAAATATAATATATGAGCTTATGCAAGCTTAAATGATAAAAGTCTAGTAGGGGTTTGCTTCTTCTCTTGTCTGTTCACTTGACTATACACAACATGTGTTTGATTATATGCTAATCACTTTGCTAAACCTAGGGGGTAGAAAACCTGTTCCATTGCAGAGGGTGATGATCTTGGAAGTGAGCCAGTACCTGGAGAATTATCTGTGGCCAAATTTTGATCCAGAGAATTCTACGTTTGAGCATGTTATGTCAATGATACTCATGGTCAATGAGAAGGTATGCTGGTTTACATATATGTCGTATGGACTCCATCCATCAATTATGTCATAAACTCATAATATAGTCAAAATAGCTGGTTTAGATTTCTTAGACAAGTAGTTAGTCAAAATTACTTTTTCTACATGCTAATGGGTACAAATGATGCACTTTTGCAGTTCCGGGAAAATGTCGCTGCTTGGTTATGTTTTCACGATAAACAAGAAATGTTCAATGCATTTCTTGATAGGGTCATTTCTCTAAAGGAGGTATGGTTTTCTCTTTTATACTGAGTGCTCAAACATTCTCTAAGATCTGGAACATGACAGTTTTTGTTAATTAGTTGATACCCATAATGCTTTTGAGTTTTGACTTTCTAGGATTTCATTTTTGATATGGCACGCCCAGTCTTTAGTTTCTTATACTCCGTACGACTGTTATCTATTTATTTTTTATTTCTATTGTACTCTTAGTCTTATTACTTTACAAGCTGCTTGACATATTGAGAAAAAAAATCAGAAACTTGAAGACTTTGTATGTTTAGAAATATTTATAAGACATGAGTTCTCCCACTTTCCTTCTAAACCCTGCCACCCACCTCCTGACATCAACAACAAACCCAGTGCAATCCTAAAGGTGGGGTCTCAAGAATGTAGGATGTATGCAGAATTGCCGACCAGCCAGACCTTATCTCCACCCGTGTGAGGGTTGAGAGGTTGTTTTCAATAGACAGTTAGACACTCAAAAACAGAAGCCCTAGAAGCAATTTGGATGTTGTAACTTTCCTTCCGTCCCTAAAAGAATGTCACTCACTTTGCACTATTCCAATATCACGGTAACTTTTGTTTATTTGCACGTTTTCATTGATAATTTGATAAAATAAAATATTCTTGTGACATCTAGTTTTGTAGAATTTTTTTATGTAGTTTCTAAATATACACATCAACAACATCCCAGTTGGATCTCACGAAAGTAGGGTTTTTAAATATGCAAGTTTTAATTTTTTTATTTCTATACCAATCTTTA